CTCCCTCCCTTCCTGCCTCCCTCCCTCCCTTCTCTCCCTTCTCTCCCAGGGTTCAATCCAGCCGCTCTCCCCATTCCCCCGCACTCCGGCCGCGGTGCTGCCATCCCGCGCCGGTGCCCACGCTTTAATTCCCATTATTTATTTATCCCGGCAATTGTCACTTAATTGCCTTGGTGGCCCCGTCACAGGCGTCTCGGCGCGGAGGCTGCTGGCCGTGCATAAACACAGGCAATAAATAAACAGCCCCGTGGGCTCCCCGCAGCGCTTCCCTGTGGAATAAGCACCCGTGGGTGCCGGTGCGGCCGAGTGGGCACTGGAAGCACAAAGGGGAGCTCAAAGAAAAAGATAAAAAGTAAAATCCCCAACCCAGGGTTTTAATTAATTAGTTATGTCCCCCGTGACTCCGCGGAGGCAAATGGCTCTGCTCATGTTTTATGGAAGGGCTCTGCCGCGGAGCCTGGGGACGGCGCCTGGGGTGACGCGGGGGGGGGGGTCACTGCTCATTTGCATGACATTTGCATGCGCCCCCGAGCCTGGCAGCGATCCCCCCTCTCGGCGTGGGGCCGGAGCGGGGCTCAGGGCTCTGCGAGGCAGCGCTTGGTGCTCATCAGCCCTTGGGGGATGGTATTTCTCGTTGGTGAAAGTGTCTCATCAATCACGTGTTAATGCAGCCGGGGCTGGCCCCCACGGCGCCCGGGACGCTGCAGTTTATGAGTGTCCCGGGTGGAGGAGACACCCCAAAACCTCCGCGCAGGCCCCATCCCGCGGCCCCGCGGCCGGGTGCTGCGGGGGGTTCCCCAGTTTGGGGGCTGTAACGCTCCTTTCCCAGGGTTTGAGGGTGGGTTTCCCCCTCCGCCGTGAGCTCTTTACAAGGACCACGCCAGCCCCACGCGCTGGGACCCGGCCCCGCTGCAGAGGGGGCACTGGGGAGGCGCAGCCAGCCCCGTGCCACAAACCAAAGGAGGGTTCAGCCTTTCCCAAACCTGCTTGCTCGAGGGTTTGATTTTCCCTTTGGCTGCTGTTGCTCCTTGAAGTGCTGCAAACGACTGGATTCAGGATCAGCAAACGCTTCAGGATCAGCAAACGCTGCCCGTTTGATTGCAGATTTACAGCCCAAGCCCCAAAATCCTCCACTGCTTGGGAGGTCCTTCGAGGGAACCAGGGAGAAAGTGTTTATTTCCATCATAAAGATGCGTTTTAATATTTTAACATAAATCAAGCAGCGCTTTATGGTGATAATAAATTTGCTGGCAGAAACTGCCTTCGCAGCCCGAGGCAGTGGAGCAAGTCAATTTGTTTGGGTTTAAGTGTAAGGAGCTGTAATTGAGCAGGGGAACGTGCAGCTGTTGTAATTGAGCTCCCAGACCCCCCGGAGGTGGCGGGACGCGGGTCCCGTCGCCCGCTCTGCCCGTTGCTGCTCCCGGAGCCGCCGGGCGCCCGCGGCCCCTCGGGCAGAGCCTCTGCTCACACTGTGCCAGGAGGACGGGGCGAACAAGGACGCCAGGCTGCAGTATAATGTGCACTTTATTTGGGTTTCGATCCTTTTTTTTTTTTTTTTTTTTTTTTTTCTTTTTTTTTTTGAAAACCAATGACAGTCGGGACAAGCATCATGTGAGGATCCGTAACGTGGATTTTCGGCACTGATACCACCGTATAAAACCAGACTCATTCCGGCTTACGCGGGCGCGCCGGCC